GGGTTCCTGTGGCCCTCCACCAGTAGAAGTCTCTCCTGGCAGGACCGTCGGTGACTATATTTGGTGCGATCTTGTGGCTTTACACAAACAAAGTATGGACTTCTCATTTTGTAAACACTCGACTCCACATTCCAACAAAACTCCTGCCCCCGGGATCGTTTGCACCTCTGGTAGGGCTTCAAGTTGAACCTGGCCAAACGAGGTCATGTAGAAAGCACCCACCTTCAAAATGTTTGCCAACTCTGCCTAGATGAAGCCTGAACATCCTAAACGGGCGCAAGCCTCCTCTGCACTTCTGGCGGGTTCCTTTTGTTCTTGATCAGCAGAAGTCTCTCCTGGCCGGACTGTTGGTGGAAAGCGTGGAGTTCACTATGTTTTGTCTGGCTCTTGAGTTTTAGTGTCAACACAATTGATCTGGTCATTTTGTAGAGATCCCAGATCTACAGTAAGACTCCTGGAACGGGTGTCATGTGTAACTCTGGCTGCGGTAGGACCTGCCAAGAAAAAATAAAGTTCCAGAGACTTCAAAAATAGCTACTTCGCGTCTATCCAACTCTGCTCCGAAAGCCTCTTCCGTGCTTCTGGTGTTGTCTTTCAGCGTCACATCTCCAGTAGCCACTCCTGTCTGCGAACGGACTGGCCGAAAGAGGCAAGAACAATTCCACCCACTATATATTGCATATATGTTAAATTTTTGAACCACTACCTATCAAGCATACATTATGTAGTGACTTGCTGTAGTTCACAACATGTGAAGTCTCCTGGCTCTGACACTGGTTGCGATTTTGGCGCTGGGTCCTATCAGAAGCGAGACAAAACCCGGGAGAAACAATCCATAATTACATTATATTACATTGCCACTAGCCTTGGGCGTCTTCTGTTTGATCTTCTTCTCCTTTTCGTGCGCTTCAGTAGCGCTGGAGGTGTGTCCTGTATGCTCACGGTCTGGACGTGTCTGGACAAAGGACGGAATGCAATTAAAAACACTATACAACGCCACATATGGCTGCGCTTGTCGTGTTGCTTGTGGCCATACCGTTTGTAGTGCCTTGGAATGTTGTCCCCTTGGCCTGCCGAATGCGTCCACTACCAGCGAACAAACACGAAAAGCCACCTACTCTCAAAAATTTCCACAAACAAGCTAGCCTCATCTTCTGCTGACTTCTTGTCAGATTTTGCCTTTGCCTTTGCCTTTGCCTTTGCCGCCCCCTGACCATCCAAAGCCTGTCCTGCGGAGGCTCACAGTCTAGAATTTCCACAGAAGAACTTACTATATAATGATGTAGAATGTATTCATTTTCTGATTTGTAAAGAACTGGTACAGTTTGTAGTGACTTCATGGGACTCCTTTCTTTGCCTTCTTGCTCGTTTCCTTTCCCTCAGCGTCAACTAAATCCAAAGCATTCCAAATCTATACATTGCTCCGAGGATATACAATGATATACACACTCGAGTATTGTGCCTTGGCAGACTGTTTCTTCAGGTACTCCTCCAGTGGGATTGGAACATCCTTAAACGACGAGCGCGAACAGGTCAAGCAGGACAAAACACACACTATTTGCTGCAGTCTGAGTGATCCTGTAGCGCTTTTTCAACCCCTGCGGTTTCAGTCAACTACCCCGATTTCCCCAACGTCTCTGCTAATTAGACACGCTTTCCGGTGAAGCGATCAAGAGCACATTGCTTCAACCAGCAATGATAGAGTGCCCGACAGAAGTCCGCAGTAAACTCTGCCGTTTGATGGAGGTCCTTGCCTCCTTGCCACCCCTTGCGGCCGGACTTGGTGGTGATCCGGCGATGGTACTCCTGCAAGGACGACGAGGAAGGACACACGCAAGAACACAACCCTGGTAAGAAAATGACATCACTCACCACATGTGGCTCAACATGACAGGGGGAGGGCATATATATCTATATATGCACATGTCATCTACACACGAACCCCCACGCATCATGTCCACCCCAAGCGTCCTTCTTCACAGGTCGCGCCCTTTGCCGTCTCCAGAAACGAGCCTGCGTGTCCACGGCAACAATACTTGTTGATACTTGTTGTGTGCATTTGGACAACTCCATGCTATTGACTGACTTGTCTTCATTTTGTAGTGAAACCCCCCAAGCTACAGCTACCACTCCAACACCAATGTCAACTGGCCTTGATCCTTGCCCGGTCTGCTTTGGTCATCTTTCTTGCCAGCTGCTGGATAGACCTGGTGAATTTCAGACATCATGTATTGTTGTGAAATTCAACAGGCTCTTCTCCATATCTCTTCCAACATGTGGAGATACACTGAAAAATAAAATGAATTAAAACGAAATCTACTTTCGATAGCGACTCCAGCCCACTGCCCGCACCTCATGTCACTCACTAAGTGGGTGCACTTGAGGAGGTCGTGCGAGAAGAACCCCATCCACGTCTTTGTCAGCTGCCTCTGGCAATCAAAGCGCCGTAATATGACACACTATAAATTGATATAACCTGAATTGAATCATTGGCTTGACAACAAATCTTTCAATCTGTATATCGTGCGCGTGCGACGCGTAGGAATCAAACGTGTGAAACATACAACATGACTTTGATTAAACAAGGGGCAGGCCCATGTCAGCAAGCAATGCCACCATCTCTGGCTGCTTGTAAGCCCATGAACCGCTTGGCTGTTCTATCACCAAATGAAAAGAAGCGTGCACGCGTCGTAGGATCTGCACGAACATAGCCTTGCCAGATTGGACATCAAGAACCAAACCAAGTCACGTGCCCAAGCAATATCACAGTACAAAAAGATCAAATACAGATTTCAACAACAAAAAATATCATTTGGCCAAAACATAGTTGATACTGAGTTGCGAAATTGACCCAGATTCTCCGCGCCAGTCTCACTTTGAAGTTCTTCAAATTCCCAAGGACATTCTGTTTTGTCCTCTTGTGAACGCTCGAACAGCAAGGGCCATACAAAGAACACGGCGGAGCTGCTACTATGCACCCAGATGCCACAAGCCTCAGCAAAAAAGAGCAACAAAAAGCAGGACATTTCCCTATATTGTGACCAGCCTTGTATTAGTGTGATTCCCACTGCATATTTAGCATTATATAGTCATGTGGGGGCGGAATGGGGTGGACATGTTGAATGCTCGCACACCGTTTCTTCGTCAAACCGAGCTACATTAACCCCAAAGTCAGCAAATGTTTGAAGCCAGCTTCACTGCAAATGTCATCAGTTGATGACAATTTAATGTCGTAGCTCGCTGGATTGAAGCCTTCCCGCTCCCATTGACGGCTCACTTTGCGGGAGGCTCCAAACAGGTCAAGGACGTGATACACCCTTGCGACTCGTGCTGAGGTTGATCGGGCCCAGGTGACCATTTCTGCGAACTGGTTCTCTGGCTGAAACCACCTGAGGGTTGCTATAAACTGCTGTACATAAACTCAATTATACTACACAAACATTCCAACCATTTTATAGAGAAAGCATTCAGGTCTCAATGATGTCCCAGGCGCATGCTCTCTGGTGTGACACATGTGGTGTCATCATTCAAAGAAGGCAGCCCCTTTGTAGGAGCCCCACATACATTCAGCGGCGCCACTAGCACAATCCACAAAGCAAAGATAGGAAAAGCCATGGCAACAATTCAGTACGTATTCGGAGGCTAGCCTCTACACAATCATCAAACAATATGTTTGGCAGCCAACAGGTATGAGTAGGCATTTTGTAGTGGGTCTCAATAGGCATTTTGTATCATTTTGTAGTAAGACTTCTTGCTTACTGTCTGTACATGTTTTGCAAGCTGTTCCCTGAATGCACTGTCCTTGAAACAAAATGCACTACAGAAGCATACGTCCGTAACCCCAAACTTCTCAAATCATCTCATATCATTTTGTAGTCTTGTAATATCCCAGTATTGCTGCCTAGGATCCAGCTTAGGCCGATCGCTGCTGATCTTGAGAGTTCTTTCCCACACTCCTGCGTTCCTCAGCTCGATCCAGGAATTAAAAAAGAACTAAGCACAGTCTTTTTTTGAACCTCACTTGTAACACAACCTCAAGCGAGACTCTCGTCGTAGAAGTAGTGGTGGTGACTCTTTCGCCCCCCAGCATAAAGCTTGCAGCAGCGCGTGACTTAGATGATCACTTGGCAAGGGAGTGAGTGAAAATAAAACAGAATGAAGAACGGAAGAAGAGCCGCTGGAGTTTAAATAGAAAAGCACAAAAAAAATTAAAAAAAATCCAAATACTGCTCAAATACCCCAGCACCCTCTGATCGCCTCCCACTCAGGAGTTTCTATCCCTTCGGTGCAATCACCGACTTGGCAGAACTTGGGCCAGTCATCCGGAGGCTCCGGTTTTGAAGGCATTGCTTATCCACCAAGCCGAATAAAGTCACCAAGCAAATCGTGTTGAGCCAAATGGCTGCAGAGCGTCCGCAAAAGACTAAATACTATTAAATGCAAAAAACTCTCTCACATTGAAACAAAAACATATTGATATGCATTTTATAGACATTAAACATCGGAGACTTGAAAACCGTTAAGCTCTACACAATGGCATCACCTTCATTCATTCCTAAGAAACGAAATGAAATTCTACATTTTATAGTTGCCAAAAAACATGTGTTTACTACAAAATGCATAGCCCAACCTAGCCTAATCCAAGCCGGCCAAAAAAAAAATACTACAAATTGACTGGCCTCAGTCTCACCTTGATACATGCACACCTTGTCATGACTATATTTTGACTGGCCTGCGACCCCTATGCTTGTATAAAATCTCATTTTATACTGGCCTCAGGGCCATCCATTTCATAGTGGAAATCTTATCGGGGATGAAATAGAGATCATTGGCAATGCACACACGGAGGGGCTATTCAAAGCGATTGAGGGGATGACATTCTAAACATCCCATACAATGGGTCATTTGCAAATGGGTGTGACAGTCACCATCACCTCACCCGGTGACCTCCGGAGTCGGTCGACCCGTCGAACGCAGCCGTTTCGCCAGGCCGTTTTGGCCTTTGGTCACTGCCATTTGGTGGACCTTCTGAGCCTGGACGTGGAGCGAGTTTGGCTCATTGGTCAGGTGAATCCGGTGGATTTTCAGGGTACTAGTGGTTCAACCTAAGGCCGGAAGCCTCCAAACTGATTTGAGACTGTGCGTTCGAGACTCTAAATATCTAAATACCGAAACCAACCGGGAGGATCCGGGAGGAGCGAATTCTCAAAGAGCGGAGCCAGAGATCGCGGACATGTTCTGCCGGGGATCTTCGGAAATCGTTGGTCCACGTTGGTCCAAAAGGACTTGCTGGACCCCCCAATTGGCTCTCGGCCAAACAACAACTAGCCTTGGAACTGGGTTTGTGGGTTCCAGCATGAGTTCCATGAAAGGATCAGAGCTAGCCAAACCTCCTGCAATGTCCAACATCGGTAAACAAGAGCTGGCGTCCACCGGCCACTGACATCCCCACCTTCCGTGGGGTGCAGAAGCGCCTGGCCGCCCCCCGACTTCTGGCCGCGAATTTTGCCGACTTCTCCCTATCCACTCCGTGAGTCCTGCAAGAGGGTATAAGACTATGTAAACCAACGGAACAAATATGTAAACCTAACTAGTTACCAGTAGTAAGGCACCTTGCTACTACTAGTTTCTTGATCCTAGTAGTGAGGCACCTTGCTACTCGTAGCTTCTTGTTCCTAGTGGTAAGGCACCTTGCTATTAGTAGTTTCTTGTTCCTAGTAGTAAGGCACCTTGCTACTAGTAGTTTTTTGTTCCATCTTGTTCCTAGTAGTAAGGCACGTTGCTACCAGTAGCTTCTTGTTCCTAGTAGGAAGGCACCTGGCTGCCTTGCTACTAGTAGCTAGGCATCTTGCTACTAGTAGCTTCTTGTTACTAGTAGATACTCCAGAATGGCTAACTCTCTGGTTTATTGTAGAGGGAACTCAGTTCTGAGCTCTATTGACACTCACCAGAAGGTCTCCGTTGCTGCAAAAGCAGCCGATTGAAAACAACCCTACAAATATTTGTGTATATTATATATATATATATATATCAGGGGAAAAAAATATTCATCTTGGCTGGGGAAGCATTGGCCTCGATTGGTATACACAGTACTCAGTATGTCTCGAGAAATACAGTATACAGTGCATTCTCTGTAATTGATGCCATGGGCGGCTTCTTGCCATGATCACCGCCCGACTTGTGCCATGAGTTATCAGGTTGATTCAAAATCAGGTTGAGTGCCAAACTCCTTCGCACACAAGCTCACCTACATTTAAAAAAACAAAAAATATGCACAAAACGAGCATATACAGTAATCTCTCCAACATCTGATATGCAGGAATCACAGAAAATTTCCAAACAGCCATCAATCTGTCGCTTTCACCATCGCCAATCAAGGCTGCAAGATCTACCAACGCAGCATTGCTGCGGCTCTTCTGTTTCAAAAAAGCTGACAGGTTCAAAAAGGTCAACCATCCCAGCCTCCACATCTGCTGCTTGGCCCTGCCGCTGCAGCCGTTTTTGCCGCAACCTCGCTCGGCGAGATTGAAGATCTGAAGATCAGCCATGCGACAGCTGGCTCACAGTGTTTAGTGGGACCAAAACTGTGCAGAGACTCAGGTGGCCAGCCTGAACCAGGGTTGATCTCGTTGTAGCAGCCATACAAAAACTTGTCAAGGCAGCATGGGCGAGCCATGATTGCAATTGCAGTAGAGTGTGCAGCCAAGGAAAACCTCGTCACCTACTGTCAGCTTGGGGCTGCCACTAATTTATACTTTTTGCTCATGGGCAGGTGGGGTGTCAATGATTTGATCCAGAACCAAGCTTGACTTTGTAACTAGCATCTTGGAACGGTGTTTCCTCAGCTAAGGAGTGGACACCTGTTTTTGATGACTTTCTGCTCGCAAGTGACATGACGATGCTGAGAATTGCACTTTTCGATGCTGCTCATCTCCTGCTGTCAGGGTTCTGAAACAAAAGTGCATGATATAGTTTGGACCCTTCAGAAAAGACCCTGACGGCCCTGGCAGGTTCATCTTGGCAAACCAACTAGAAGCACAACTTGGCATTTGTGCAAAGGGTGTCAATTCATCCTATTTAGTCCTACGCTCGTATCAAAAGCAAACAAATGCTCTCTATATATGTGTGTATACATATATGCTACACATATCATGATATAATCATATTCTAGTATATGATATATGATTACATGTGTGGTAACTCTCCGCATGGCACCGTGTTGTGGTGCTGCAAGTGCCCTGTCAATTCAACGGAGTGAAATCCGTGCTCTCCTGCCATACGGACAAACGCAGCAAGCACGAAACCTCTGAAGACCCTGTGGAAAATGAACAATGTACGAGTGACCCGGTACTTATTACTAGTACCATGTTCTTTCTTCTTTTGCGCCTCACGCCGCATGCCAACAAACATGTCCGGAAATGATTGGAGATTGGACCAGTCAATGCGCGGGCAGTAGTTGCACTTGAACTATGACATGGTCTTCTCCTCACTAAGCTGTGCTCTTGAGACCAGGCGAGCGATAGAATCGATAGAAAATGGGGGCCCAAAACCTCCTCAGCCTTCGTCGATTCGTCATCCTGATATTTTGGGTCTTTCAATGGGGTTCTACATGACTGGTTCTTCAAATCCGTCGGAAATGCTCAACTCCTGCATCGAGCTGAACACATGTCGTGCCACTGCCACTCTCCTAGAATACCTTGTCTCGCTTTGTCTCGCCTTTGTGGATATGGAACACCCAAACGACATGCACTTGGAATGATGCAGTTGTGCAAGCACCTTATCCGTCCTTTTCCATTGCAACCCCCCACAGGGAGATCACTGCACACCACTCAACATGATCAACTTGTCTTGCAAGAGGCAAACTGGCAAAGTGATATCAGTTTCTCCTTGCCCTTGGGTCAGAAGCACCAAACTCCAACTGCCGGCCTTTGCTACGTTGGGGGGTCCACTCCTTTGGGAGATCCCTGCTGAAAAAGTAATCGCTTTCCATGAACCGCAGCGCAGGCTCCGCCAGCTCCATGCAAGTTGTTTATGTGCATTTGGGAAGACGGCTTTGTGGCCCAAGCCGCGGGCCGCCCGACAAGCGAGCTCAAGGAAGCGGAAGAAACCTCCGACAGGCTCGCAATGCTCCCTTATTTTCTCCTCCTTCTGGAGCATTATGCGCTTGTCAAACGCCATGGTTCCACTCAGCAGCACTGCTGCAATTTTTCAGTTACGGAAGGTGCAACTTGTCCTGTATGTCCCACACAAGCCAGAGGCGACCTGGATGAGACTCACAGGTATATCTCTACAAATTCACCTAGCTTACTCCCGGGTTAACACAACCCACCAAGTGTGTGGACCCAAACCACAACCACCACCTGCACTCTCAGCAGCATTTTTCAATGCTCAGTACACTTGATCAATCCTGCCAGGGTGGGCCTGCTGGGTGGCAGCCCAGCAGGCCCACCTTCCCAGGTCAGGGCTTTGGTCAGAGCACTTGGGCTCTAGAGATGCTGATCGCTGCATTCTTCCTTGCAGGACAAGGGTTCCTGCAGAGAGCACCACACTCCCTGAACACTTAGCAAAAAGAACCTGCACCAGAGTGCTCGACAGATTCTGGTTTCTCCAGAAGTTGTTCAGAATTTCTTCGAGGAGGGTGGGGGGGAAAGAAATCTGAACCCAGGATATGAAGCGAAAACGCCAAACCAGGCACAAAACACTCTGGGCTTCTTAACACTTGATCCATCAAGTACACAGGTCAACAAAAGGGTCGACAGCCAGGGTAAATTAGAGAGAGTGGTATTCTTACGCGCAAGCCCATAAGAATCCTACACCTCTACAAATTCACCTAGCTTACTCCCAGGTTAACACTGCGGGTCTAAACAGACGCCCAGGGCACAGCAGTGGAAGCCAATAGCTTGCAGCACATAACATAATGGGCCTGCATAGTCAGCTTTTTTCGCGCACTAGCAGCAGTGCCCGAGTTGTCACACAGCTGACGCAAGCGCAAAGTGTAGCCCCCTGGAGTATCTTCACAGCCTGTCCGCGCGACAAGCAAGCACAGCTGCGCCACTCCTTCAAAGGAGGCGATATCTTGCTGCAAGGTCGCTTTTGCGCACAGCCAAGCCGGCAAAGATGCTGGAACCAACTGCTCACTGAACCACGACACTTCAGACTTCCTGACATCAGCCGATGGACACCACCAACCACCAATGCCAGCGTGATGCTGGGTGGCAAATGCATCAGCTGCGGCCCGAAGAGGAATTTTGACTTGGCGCTCAACTGCACGAAGAAAAAACTGTGCAGCCCAAGTGGAGGCCCGGTTGCATGGAACCATATCCTGAGAATAATCAAAGAAAACGCAGCTAATCGATCCCTGGCGAACCCGCGGAATTCTCAAAGGCTCGCTGTCCAGAGTGGACACTGTGCAATTCCAAACTGAATGGAGTTTCCATCCACGGAGCACATCACAATCCCGCAAATCCTGGGAAACATAGAGTCCATCAGTTAGTTTGGCGAGCAAAGCCCCAAATTGTCCAGTGGACAATGCCACGGCTTCAGCCAGTAAGCTCCGCTGCAAAACCAGACAAGGAAGCCCACACAACGCTCGACATGTTTGCGCGGCACCTTGCGCCGCGCCGATGTCAATTCTTGTAGTAGTCCCACCAACATCTGCCGCTTGTTGTCCGGCAATTCAGCTTGGCCAAGACCCCCATCAAAAGACCAACCAATCCACGATTGCAAGTGGCCCATGCGCACTTTCTCCCAAGAGAGAGGGACTCCAAGCGCTGCTAAGAAAAGGAGCAAGGATGTAGCCAAGAGGGGGCACAGCCCGGCAGGAAACAATGCTAGCCCATCATCCACGTAGAGGAAAAAACCGTGCTTGACCCAAAGAAATTGGTGACAATGCCGGACGAGGAAGGCACCAACCCGCGAGAACCAGTAAGCTGCCCACCGACATCCAAAATAGCAAGACCTGTAGGCAAACCAGCGGCCTTTGACCACAAAGCAGGATAGACCCTGCTCTGCAGGGGCAACCTTCACCAGCTTGTGAGCTCCCCTCACATCGAAGTTCAGTGCGCCCCAGCACTCCCCAGGCTGGGTGAGTGACATGAAACGTTGCACACTTTCAAATGTTGGCAAGCGTACCTTTTCCTCAATCACACAACGGCTGTTTGCGCCAGAGACGGTGCCGTCCCCAATGAGACGAGGTTTTTTGCCAGGTGGTTGAGCAATCCCTAGTTTGCCCGCAGCTACAAGGTCACCCCAACGCAGCTTCGCTTCAGCTTCACCGCCAAGAAGTTCAAAAGCATGTCCTGCTGCCACGTCTTTTAGCGTGAGATCAAGTGTGAGATCTTCACGGTCTAGTCCACTCCGCCACGGTTGAACATGAATGGAAAGGTCATCTAATTATCTAATTGGGAATCCACTTCGGTGCAAACAGGTTCCCAAATGCCAGAGGCAGGGATTGGCTCCACCACACCAGTTGGAACCCCCTGCGCCAGTAATGGCGGCAATGAACAATCCACATCGTTGCAGTAAGCACCCAAAGCAGACCAAACGTCCAGGAGAAAAGGTTGACATCGCCCATTCCGCATCGTCCAGGTCTTTGAACGAATCCAACTTCAGTTTGAAACGTGTAAGCCAATCTTCGAAGACGTTCGAGTCGACAAAGGCATGCGCAAATGAAGCTTTGCGTTTGAAACCCATTTTCAGAATAGCCTCAACCACTTCCTCACATAAGCCCTCTTCTCCCATGGCTTTGCTCCACTCGCAAGCCATCACCAGCAAAGCAAAAACAAGTCAAACAATATACCAACTAAGTGCAGCAATAGCAACTTCTAGCTTTCTCAAGCACAGAGTTTTATATGCAAACAAATGTTGACGCGAGCGCGCCGCACCAGCTACCGCAGCCAAAGGGTAAGGCTAACCCACTTAAAAACAACCAGGCAAGGCTCACAGACCAAAGGCATGATAGAAACAAGGCGCACACGGCCCCTACCTGGAGTACCACACTCCAACAAGAGCACACAGCTCTGTTCGCAAACAAAATTGCAAAACCAGGAGCACCTCGCTCCAAGGAGCACACAGCCCCTACCTGGAGTACCACACTCCAACAAGAGCACACACCGCGCTCCCAAAAGCTCACGGCCCCTACCTGGAGTACCACTCCAACCAGAGCATCCAGCTCTGTTGGCAAGGAGCACCGCGCTCCGACCAGAGCACACGGCTCTTCCCAACACAGGTCTCCAAAATTGCCTTTTGCATCAGAACCATGAGTACCAGTTCACAACCCAGCAGCACACGCCGCGTGAGAGCAAGGCAGAAAAATTTCTTTGCTTTCTGCTGGATTGGTATGCCATACTTCCCACCGTGGAGGGCGCAATCGCTGCCGTGGGGCGCAGGCTCGCCCAAACTCATCCAGGCCAAGATTCACAGCTGCGTGGAAATAGGAAGTAGCTGTATTGACCACGAAAACACCGCTGGCCATGGTCAAGGCGGGTGGTTCAGCAGCCGCCGGAGCATCTACGTCCTCCAGATCAGACGCACAAAACTCTGAGGAAGAAGACGAGCTGCATGACGATGTATCTGTCTCGGTTCCAGAATCATTTGCATCAAGACCAGGTCCTGCTGCAGCCAAACCAAGCGGCGTCCACGCTAATCGATGGAGGGGCCCAGAAAGAGCCGATTCCGGCACAGGCGGCAAGAACCGCGCGCTTGCGGCGTGAGGGGAACCCACCCGCCACGAACGGAGTCTAGTACCTTCAATTGAGCTCTCAAGGCTGGGAGGACATCGTCCCGGCTGTACTTGGTTGTCATCTTTGACCCACTGTCGCCTCCACGATGGTCACCACGTCAAGTTGAAGGGCCCAGGTTAAACCTGTCGTTTTCAAGCTGTGCAAGGTATAGTTCCGCGCTTGCGCGGTCGAAAGGCCACCAATAGCCACCAGCAACTTGCGAAATTGCCCTAATGCGTAAGCCAAGCTGGCATGGGCACCACTAGGCCCAGGAATCAAAAAATCACCGTGTCCAAGATGGTCACATAGATGAGACACACCCTTGTCCCAACAGTCATGGGTCCCCAGAGTAAGCACTCCGAAGGGCATGCCATCCTTGGAAGTTTTGGTGCGATAACACCAGCCTCGCAAAATGCCACGCTCAATTTGACAAGAACCCAAAGCAAGTCTTTGAGCATCACTAAATCTCAACGCACCCCAAATCATGAGCAGAAAGGCAACTAAAGCCTAAAGCCAAAGTATCTTTGGTCACCACGGAGTCCAGATCTTTATGGATTTTTGTTTCAAATGCAGAGACCACAGAAAGTGGAAGAGGCAGCGCCTCTTTACGTGGACTCAAACTCGCTTGCGGCTCACACCAGGCCACCACTACCGAATGCCCCAAGGTCGTCAACCAAGCGTCCCAACCCATCAGCGCAGCCACAAATTTCAATGAAGCTATACCATTTTTTGCACCACGTGCAGTTTTACCATTGTACAGCAGAGCTTGTACGTATCCCACAAAGTCCATCAAAGGTGGATTGTAAGCAGGCCAATCGTGATGGCAGGCAAAGTCAAGCCACAAACGCCAACTTGGCAAGTGGCGACGCAGGGTGGAAGCCGCTTTCTTTGATAGCATACGCATCAAGCTAGGCTGCGCCAAGCCACCCAAATCCACAAAGTTTGGCGCGTGTGGCAAAAATTCTTCAAACAGTCCAGCCCAAAAGCGTACCCACTTTTGCAATTCAAACTCATCTGAACGCGCAGCACTTGCACAACTGTCACGAACATGCAGCGTCGTAGCCCAACGCGATGCGCCAACGTATTCAATGGCTGGGGCTGCAGCAATCTCTGACGGAGCGAGCGCAGGACTGCGGGAGAACCCCCACTGCCGCTTGGGGCAAGGCAGTCCCGGCCGCAAGCTGCTCACGTCACGAGAAGCTGCACGCACCAGGCGCGAAGGCCGCGGAAGCGGCATCCCAGGTCAGCAAGCCAAAAAAGAAATCTGAACCCAGGATATAAAGCGAAAACACCAAACCAGGCACAAAACACTCTGGGCTTCTTAACACTTGATCCATCAAGTACACAAGTCAACAAAAGGGTCGACAGCCAGGGTGAATTAGAGAGAGTGGTATTCTTACGCGCAAGCCCATAAGAATCCTACACATGCGGGCTCACCTCTGCCTGCAACTCCGAAGGTCTCTTGACAATCTCCACAGGTGCACACATGGAACGACAAAACAAAAGAGGAGTCAAACCTGCAGGAAGGACCAGTGCTCAAGTTCACATCCGCCTTGCGTCGCACTGAGCACTCCAGGATGGGTCACCCCCGACAAAGGCCGAGCGTTGGTAGACCAAGCCCGTCAATTGTGTTTGGATCGGCTCTCACTGCTGACGACTGGTGGGGCTTGCATGCCACGCTGCGCAGCCAGCCGCAGGGCCATCCACATCGAAGCCTTCGCCTCAACAAGCTGGTGAATCATTGAGATTGTCGGAGAGAGCAGCCCACGCCAAGGCGCCAAGCGCAATAGAAGAAGGGGAGCAAGACAGCAAGAGAATGTTGTACACTGCGTTCTCCAGTTCAGTCTTAAAGCCGCTTTGAGTCGACAGTTTGACAAGTAATTACTGTACAGTACATCGATTTGTTTCCACAGTGAAGTGAAGTGCCCTTCGTCCTGGGCGCCTCGACCCAGGGACTTCATGAGTTCGGCATCGTCAGGGTCATGGACCACTATCATCGGCAGCTCTGACTGGGACAACACAACTGAGCACCACAAACAACAACTCCATTAAGCCCTTCTCTGCTGTACAACCATTATAATTAGACATTGTCACATTGTATACTAAAAGACATCCAAACACAACTTGGTGCTGAGAAATCAGAGGTGTCCAGCCAGGCATTTAAGACCCAGCATTGTCTAGTACTGAGTACTGACCAAGGGTAATTCAAAAGTATTTCACTGGGCCCCGTTCTCAAGAAAACAACATGCTCATCCTGGAACAAGTGTAGAGTGCTGGTCATCGTGGTAGTAGTCAAGTTATGAAACTTCCACAAGGACTTCTTGTGCTCGCCTCGAAATCTTCCGGCTCTCAAGATGAAACTCTGTTACCTTAGCGTTACAAGTTACTCCCTTCTTTATCTTCTTTCAATCAACATGACCAAAAGTCCTTGTGGCCATAGCACGGATGACAAGATTTGAAAGACCCAACAGTCTGCGATCAGGGCGGGGACCAAGTCACAATATCTGGGTTCTTTGGCAGCCGCCCCTCGATGTGGCCCTGCAAGCTCTGTTGCACCAGGAACTGGGCTCCATGAACGTCCGCATGGGATCTGCTGCACCAGTGTGAAACAAAGTTGGTGAGTGTAAAAACGAAGCTGGAGTTCCTCCACGACTGTCCTGCCGCAAGCAACTCTTCACATCTTCAGCTCACAAATGCTGGCGACCCGCGTTGGAAAAGGGTGGTGATGGCAGGATTGGCTTAACCGCACTTGCGTAAGCCTTTGTGCGGGTCAAGCATGGCCCTGGAGCCCGATGGTTGGCAGAGTCAAGGTGAATCAAGTGCGTAGTGTACTGCAAGGCAGGCGGGGTGAGTCAAGACGCAGCAGCTCTACTCCATACCTCGCAAATTATATAGATCTTGTCATTCAAGCATATTCCAAGCAGGGTTATAATGCTTACTCTGGCCCTTATTCAGCAGACTGTTTTATGATGTTTTATGCATTCAGGCGGCCAGCTCAGCAAACACAGCTAACACCTTTCCTTCCAGTCCAAATGGAATGAAGCATGCAAAGATTCAGAACATCTGCACTTTTTTGGCCTCTACGGGGTTTAGTTGTGCTCAGTACAAAATGATCGGAGCATCAGCATGTGTGCTCAGCCACTTCTTCAGTGACTCAGCTCACACGCCCGGACTCTACACGAGCACCCAAGTACATCTTCAAAAGCATGAGGTTGTAGTTGGTGACATCATGAACCTGATGCACGCAATGGGTCAAATGTACCATCTAAGAGTCGTGCGGATGAACCAAACAACAAAGACACTACAACTCACCACGGCAACTGCCTCCGAACGAGTCAGAGTTGGTGTGCCAGAACTTCATGTGTCTTCCAAGTCTGTATATATAGCTCACTTCAATCTACAATACGGGGTTGTACTTGCAGTAGCTCGAAAACGGACCAGTAGAAGAGGAAAAAAAACAGGAAGAAGTCCAAGTTGCCCCATCACCTGCCCTAGCTTTGCAATGCGCATTTTAGGCCAAATGTTGGGCTTTGCAAAGTCGCTCCACTGGTCATCCAGCCAGGAGGCAGATTCAAAGGAAGCGGAGGCGCCAATCCACCATGTCTTGTGTTGGCCTTGGAGTTGAACGAGATCCCAAGGCATACCTGGCCACGGGAGGCAAAGGTCTACACCTCCGACTTCCTCAAGAAACCAAAGTGGGCAACCGTCTCCACATCTTGATTCACCGAAAAATCATCGTCATCGTCTCACCGTCTCGTGCAAAGGACGAAGAATTCGCCTTGTTGGATGGCTTCACCAGAGAAGTGGTGGAAGTAGGGCCAAGGGAACTGGCGCAAAATCGTGACATCCTTCACTTGCTGCTTCTCCAGCTCCTGCCAAGTGTTCGACATCCATCTAGAACGGTGGGGGTGCGGAGAAATATGACACCCGGAAGAAAGAAAAGTAGTCGACTGGGGGCACTAAATCGCCAGCCTATACCGCTCAACAGAAGAGGAAAACTAATAATATGGACATAGAATGACATAGACATGTTGCCCAGTTTAT